GGGCTTGGGCAAGAAATGGGAACGTAATATTTTATAATTTCCAGTTGGTGGACTTTTATTTTGGAAAGAATTTTCAGCAAATGTTCATCTGCTGTAAAAAGAAAAAAAAAAACCCTAAAAAACATTAGGATCTGGATGTTTGGCTTTTTCTTGGGTTATTATTCTATGCATGAAGTTACCAAGAATCAGCCCCATACTCATAACAAGGGAACAGGTACTCACTTCTCCTCAACCATTTGCTTTTGATATTCCTCATACTCCTCTCTGGTCATTCCTGCAGCTGCTGCTGGATCAGAAGGAGTGCTTTCTTCTTTGCTTTCTTCCCCTCCACCTCCAAGTCCCAAATTCTTTACCTGGTTGCTCAACATACTTTTCATTAGAAAGGCCATCTTCTCAAAAAAAAAAAGAAAAAGAAAAAGGAAAAAAAGAAGCTATAAAAAAGCAACTACAAGGAAGCCAAACAAAAACTGTTTTCAAACCCAACAGTTGTAAGCAAGAGTTTCTAGAGCCACATCAGTGCTTCAAGGGCACAGTGCTAGTGAAACGTGAATGCCAAAACCAGTTTGTCAGCCATAATCTGGATTAAAGAGTGAACTCCTTAATATATAGAGGCAGATGGTTCAGATTACTCAAAAAAAATCATTAGATGCAGCTACCTATTTTTTACATTAATACTTTAAGCTAATTGTACGTGCAGACACACAAAAATCAATTATAAGACAGCATTTGATATCTTCAGTCTTGAAGCTCTCTCTCACTTTTACAGAGATCACAACATTCCCTGGATCTGAACTGAAAACCTGCTTGATCCAGTAGCCAGAGTAAAATAGCAAAATTCAGACTACTGAGTGGAAACCCCTCAGATCAGAGATTTGAAAACTTGAATTCTTCACTAAGCAAAACACCTGATTCTTTTTATCTATGAATATTTTATTCCACTGGACAGAAAGGACTTTGTATGCTTTTTCTTCAGCCCCTTTCCATATGGTTGGTTTGTCTCACAGGTGCATGGGGCATCACTGCTACGACTGCTTCTTTTTCAAGAAAGTAATCCCAAAGAAAGCAAGTCAGCTCTTCCCCAGCGTGTCTCCATCCCCGTTTCGGTGCTGCATAGCACACCTACTGTTTGTAATCCTGACTGCTGATAAAGGATAAATGAAGTTGGATATAGATGCCATAAAACAGTCTGGATACCTTTCGGTTGTAGATTGTTTATGTAGGTCCTCATCTTTCAAACTTTTATTCACATCATTAACTTCACCAGGTCTACTTAGGTGAAGAGTTGCAGGATCTGCTACCTAGGCTATAGACTATTTTGGGAAACAAAAGCCAAAGGTCTCCAAAGTTCATGAATTTGGGTTTTGAGCATTTATCCTACTGCACATGCCTTAATGAAACATTCTGGAATTTTGATTATCTAAATGGTTCTCCCAGCACTGACATAATTTCCATGAGAACTGAGAGACGGGAGGATGTTTGTTTAATACCTTAATCTCTATTACAGCTTTTCTAATAAAGCAGACCTATTACTATTAAAAAAGCAGGACATTGTGTAATCCTGGATTGATAGTGACTAAACAAGAATTTTTTTCTTTTTGAAACTACTACTTAGAATCGTGAATTCCAAGTTATTACAACTACTTCATCTTAATTTCAAATTCTCCTAACTGGAATTTGTTTGCAAATATTATATGGAGCGCTGGTTTTTCCAGTGTTAGGTGTCAAAGTTTTCTCCAAGTGTACAAGAAGCGGTACCCATTAAGCTTTATGCTATCGGTCTTTACTGAAAAGAAGCTTTCCTAACATCCTGTAGGCTTTGATCTCCCTATAAATGTTGCAAACGTCCTCTTTTGTCTAAAAGAGATGCTTTCACAGGACAGAGAAAGGCAAGAAAGCTGCAAACTGGCCTAGGGAGGGAGCGCTACGGGTCTTGCCSTCCAGGTCTCAACCTTCCCATCAACAAAAAGCTTTCCAATGTTCATTTTGAAATCAAAGATTACAAAAAGTGCTTTAAATGTTACTGGGCCGATTGTCACTGAAGCTGCTGAGAAACACCGAATCTGAGACCAGTGACAAAAGGCATAAAATAGCCAGTATCCCCAGAATAATTCAGCTTTGGGCAGGTGCTCTAACTACCACCTGAATTGAAAAAAAAACAAAAAAAACAAACCCACTGCTTTTTGTTGATGACAGGAATCACAGGCTTCATGAAAACATACAGACGGCAGCTAATTAAGTACTCATTCTGCCACTTTCTTTAAATCTATGTCTTTTCCCTGTAGTCCAAGTGAAGTAAGAATTAGACTCTGTTCCTGTTTTATCTGCTGAAACTGGGTGATATGGAGCACAGGCTTTTTTATATCTAGGAACATACAGATCTCTAACCCCAGCACAGAATTCAGTTTTGAGACAGGCAAATTACAAAGCTAAAGTTAAAAGCCTCAAAGGCCTCTTTTCTCAATTCTGTGTTCCTAACAGCCACATAATGCAAAGATGTGTAGGTTTTCTTGGAAGAACCAGGACTCTTCGCCCTGCTTCATCCCTTTACAGAGGATTTCTAGGAGCTGGACCATCAGAAAGAAATATTTTAGGGCTTTGCCAGCTTCAATTGATTAAATTCAAGATTACCCTCCTCCACTTGCTAAAAATTCGCTCCTGGCTGAGGAAATATGGCAAAGAGGGAATTCCACCTCAGAATGGCATTAAATCCCCAGAAGCGAACCCAGATCTGTAGGTGTTCAGACTCTGAATTCCGGATGAAGAACGCTTCAAATACACTCGCTTAGATTTCGTGGACATGTACCAAAACAGAAGAAAAGGGCTTACTAAAAATATGCACATTTATTGAAATAAGGTTATCTCTGAACTCCAAGGATCAATTTACATCAGTCAGAAATATGAAAATGTCAGCTCTTTGAATTTTAAATTAAAAAAAAAAAAAAAAAGTAGACAATTTTTGGTGTTACAGTAATTGATCCATTGAGAAATGTCAGATTTTCTTCCCACACAAGTTACAGACCAGAGTACTTAATTTACAAACCGCAAACCAGGTCATTTACAAACTGTATTGTGCATTTGACTAGTGAAAGATTCAGGGGTGACCATGTATTTAATAAATCCCACCAGTATAATCCCATTCTCTTGCCATTGCCAAATACTTGCCATTTGTTATCCACGATTCAAACATAATTAACTTGTTCTCCCTCATATTGTCCAACTGCATTCCAAGGTGCCTTTTCCCCCTAGCTGTGAAATCATACTTGATATGAATCAAACACACTGTCACTGTTGAAAGAAACCTCCCAACAGGAGGCTACACTGACTGGCAAACATTCTTGAAGTTCACATTTGTTGCTATTTGCTGTGATTTTATAGCACAGGATGAAGTGTGAGATGGGTAGTTGAGAGTTTTCTTTTGATCCAGTGAGTGATGAGGCAATTTTGGAAATTTCAAAGAGAGACAACTGTGAAATGAATCATGAAGCAAAGTTACCAGTTTTCTGATATTCTGCGTTAGACCTTCTGTTCCCTGCCACAGAAGTTTCTTCGTGGCATGTGGGAGACATGTCTGATACACGTAGCAGCACAAACACAGGCAGAGACTCCTCTCGAAGAGAAAACCGTAGGCTTCGCGTTTCCCCCTAGACATCACCCCCAGCCTGCTCTTCTTTCTAACAAAACAAACAAAGTATGGGCTGCTCCAACTTTAACCCAAAGCAATGGGTGGGTAACTTCACAGTAACAAAAATCCAGGCTCATTCCAACTGAGACATCAGAACTGCTCCTCATTCTGCCAGATGCGTGCACCTACTTAGCAAAATACCTTCTGCATCGAGAGTCTTGCAGAGCCTGCTGTGAGAGGAATTCTGTTTAGGTGTTGCACTACTGCAAGAAGGCCTGCAGCTGAAGGGAACAACACTGTACAATTTCAGAACCATTTAAGAAAATATATTAAGTTTAGTTAGAAGAGTCAGGGCTGTAATAGCTTAGATTCAAGGCACCTGGAAATATTTGCTGGTGTTGAAACAGAAGAAATAAATTCCAACGTGTTATTCTGCTGTATCTGAAAAGTTTTTKTTTTCTTTTTTTTTTCATAGATTAGCCTGAGGCAGTAGTTTCTCTCATTACTACAGCAAAATCTGCTCAAATTCAGAAACAAATCTTTAAAGCTATATCACTTATAGTATCCTCCATTCTGCAGATGTGTTAATTGATGTGTAGGCAGTCTCATTTTCTTGGTATAGCACAGACACTATTTCAAGTAACAAAATATATTGCATAGATACATCATTGTTCCAAACTGACAGGCACAATACTGAAGTATTCTTCATTACAGTAAATTTGGCAGCATGTGTTGCATTCCAAGGGAGCAGACCGTAGAAATGCAATAGGAATATGTCATATCAGATACTTTTTGCAGATTCAGACAAACAAATCAATAGTTACAAGTGAAATATCCTGATGTATTTGTGTATTTTATAGAATTTAGGAAACCACAGAAATACCTATTCTAATTCTTCACACAAATAACTCAAGGTCAAATTTACCACAGATATGTAAACAAGGCATAAATAATTTCACATTCCTAAGTTTGGGCCTCTGCTTAGTTTCTTTCCTGAAGCAAATGTTCACTTAATAAGCAGTATCAAAACCTCATGTTCAGTCTTATGCTTTTGATATTCAAGCAGGAATTGATACAAAATACTGGTTCTACAGATTAACAAACATGTCTGAAACAAGTATGTGAAGAAATTGGTTAACACTCAATACCTGCAGTTTACAATACTCACCATGTCAAGATTTAAATCAAAGCATATGTACTCRATATGTGAAAGACAGAAGACAGCTTTAGAAAAGTAAAGACAAATTCACACACTAAACATATTCTTAATACAATCAGAGGATGGATAAAGCAACAACCTTTGCTGGAAAAGTTCCACAAATCTCCCAACAAAATTACAGACAGACTTGAAAGTATGAAAAAAGAAATCAGCCCCACAATGTACGTAAAGAAACTACTTTAGCATGTTTTCTCTCACTGCCTAAAACCAAACCTCAAAGTAAGGAGAAAAGCCTTTCTTTGCATGCTCTGTAAAACTGTTTTTTTTTTTTTACAGCCGGTATCAACAGTCAGGGTCTTAAAGGCCTGTCTTTGTGTCCACATATTAAAAAGTGTTGAAATGCCTGTTTCAGAAAGACTTTGAATTAACTGAAATGGTCTTATAACTGTTAAATCCAAGTGCTAACCAAATAAAACGTTAATAATAAATTTTTACCCGCTAAAAAAACAAATCCCACGGAAGAACAGATCTTTGGGGTTTGGGATTTTTTTGCCTTCTCTTTTTATGTGGTATGTCAGGACACTCGGTAGCAAGTTTTCTGCACAAATCATCCACCTGCCATTCACACTGTGAAGAAGCACAAGGCCTGGGTGTTTCAGCTCCTCCTCCGCAATCTTAGCAAAAGGAGAGAAAATGGGGCATTTGCCCTATTTATGAAAAAATTGGCTGAAAACACAGACATAGATAGGGTGCACAGTCTTCCCCCATCCAGCATTTGCTCCACTCCTCCCAGTCTATTTTTTGCATCAACAATTGAAATGAGAATTCATTTTATTTAACAAAATTCAATAATTTATAATATTGAAATATATCCAACATTAAAATTTCCCTCATTTACAGAAGTGTAGAATTTTCTGTGCATACATATTGCTGTTATGTACACACGAAAGGAACGGGTCATCAAAAGAACTTTTTGGCTGCTGCTTCTTGTTGGCTCCTGAAAGAAAATGCAGAAGAAAATTCTTCAAGTCCTTTTAACTTAAAACTGGCTAACCACTTTAAATTTTAATTTCTTTGAGGAATAAAAGATTCCATTCCTTACCAACAGAAACATAGGGAAATCAAATGTAAGTCATATCACAAAAACAGGATGTAATATTTTCAATTTACAAAGATATCGGTAGCATCACTGCAGTTCCAGTTTTGCATCAGACACAAAAGGAAAAAAAAAAACCCAACCCCACATTCTGGACACAAGCCAGAAATTATGAAAGAACAAACAAACTGACTTAAAATACTCCTAACATTTTCTGGAGCTTCTCAGTATCCAACTGGCCTAAGGATCATCTTAGAAAAGGAAACCCATGCAACTATACAGGAAAAGAATTGACTTTAAACGGGTTTTCCTTTTCCCTCTGGCACAGATCAGATTCATTGTCTCAGTGGACACAGACACTATGGATCAACCATATCCAGGTGCTAGAATTACAAGGGCACAAAGAACCTGAGGAGACCAGCTCCCTGTCGGTCTTGGAAGCCATCATTCCAGCTGATGGCAAAAAGACTCCCAAACACTGAGGTTGCCCTTTCCATCAGTGCAAACAGAATTTCAACATTATGACATCACAGGGGGGAAGAAGAGAACAGAAAGAACATCCCAATTAGCTTAGATTAAAAAAAGACACAACAGTCACATTGAAACAGGTCAAGTTCTCGCTTGACACCCAGCAGGTGAGGGTAGAATAAAATAAACTTCATTATGATAATTCAGCATTTCCAGTGGGTTCTGTGACAGTGGAGAACTTTGCATTCGTAGAGGTTTTGAAGACCTGAACCGTTTAAACACCAAGTGACCTCATCTGAATTCAGTATGCACCCCATTTGCAGCAGAAGATTAAACTGGAGACCACCCAAGGTCTCTTCCAATCTAAACGATTGTTTGTTTTGGCAAGATTATCATTAATAATGATATCATTCCAATGGTATTATCAGTCAGCAGTTCTAAAACTGTTTGCCCTGCTATCTTCAACTTACCTATACATGACATAACCAATGAATAGTATACTTTGAACTGCCACAAATACGAAGAAATGCATCGTAGACAAGCACGATGGAAACTGTGGCAACTCTGGACACTTTGGTTTCTCACTAGATGGCTAAAACCCAAGAAAAGAGCAAACAAGACATACCATCAAAAACTTGGAAAAACAGCATCTTTGCAACATGATGCAAAAATCAGAACACAAACAGAAAATGGACATAAATGACACTACTCTGAAAAACAATGTGACTCCTCATATCATTTTCCTTTTCCACCTTTATGTGTTTCAGATAAATTGCCTGATGTTAAATTGAGGGTTATATGGGTAATATAACCAACTAAATTTGGTAAATTAATCAAGGACCTTCTATGGATCATCAGGTAATTCAGCTTAATTGCTACCTAGGCTAAACTAAGGTGCTCATGATTGTGAGCACAGTCATTTTTTCCACTTAGAAACTTTAAGCAGTCTGCCCGAGTTTCCCCTGATTAAAGCTCTCCCTTCTGTGCAGAAGCACCACAGAATCTCCTCTGTATAGAGTTGTTAAGCAGGGGGACAAACACAAATAAAAAGCACCCAGAAAACCTAATTGCTTGACCTTGTTTCCACAGGAAATTAGACTAAAACTCATGCTCTTTGTGCAAAACTTCTCATCAAGACTCAGATCATGCAGTTAGGTCAAGGCAGCGTAGTTTTAGCGAAGCAGCTTAACGAAGGATTAATTGCTCCCTAAATTGCACGCTGGCTCATCCTAGCTTTTCACTATCAGCCAAAGAAAGCAGCATTACAGTCACGCTTTACACTCGCAGCACATAAATTACCGTGTTTCGTTGCACTAAATGCTCTATGTCCCTCTTTACAACATGAAGGTGTTCTTTGATGTCATTGAAGTGCTGAGTTGTTTCATAGACTCCTGCAGAGCCAGGATGCTGAGCTCCACTGATGGATCTCAGAGCATCGGTCACAGAACTCCTGAAACGAGACAAATAACAGAACAGCTTTCAGCATGCACCAGCTTTCCTACAAACAGCAGTTATTCCGGACACCTTTCGGTTCACTGGAATTGATCAGAAATACCCAGTTGCCCCAAAAGGCACCAAATATTTCTTCTAGCTTTCAAGAATACCTCTCAAGAAATAATCCTTTAGTCAAACTAGGAATTTTAAGAATAGTTCATTCTGCAGACAGTTGCCATTTGTACAGCGTCCCGTCTCATCAACTAGCAAATATTCTGTTGCCAGACATGGGCTTTGCCTGCCTGCCTGATGAGTTCTATAGAACAAGAGTTCTGTCTGAGGCTCCTGCCAAGGCTTTAGGATAAGCAGAGTTTAATTCAATCTTTGAAGAAACCCAAAAGCTGTTTGAAAAATAAATAAATAAAAGCAGTCATGTAAGAAATAAAAACAAAGAAGAGGCTTTAGGGATAAGAAAAGATTTAGATACATCTTTATTTTGTGATTACCATTTATATGAGGAACTCATTTCCCATATGCACTGTCATAATACTTAATATTGTCTTATTGTGAATTCATTTTGCTTCTACAACAAATGAAATTGAATCCATAAAAAGTTGAGGTTTCTCAACTAATTTGGTTTGAGGTAAACTAGTCAATGAGAAAAAAAAGCCTTAATCTCTAACCAATATGTTTATATGATTTTCCCCTACTGTCCTGTTTCTTTTGAGTTGCAAAGAGGATTATTCCACAGCTAAAACATTTATTATGTGAATGATAATCTCTTCATTATTAACAGAATAGACAATCAAAATGTATGCCTTTGGATTTCTTTTTAGTTTACTTAAAACTTCCCATTTGGTTCAGATGGGAGCTTACTTCACTGCTCTCACGGAGCACTCCTAATGCTTCGTAGAGCGCCGTCAGCAATTTTTCATTTACTTTGACTTGGAATTAGTGCTATAGTAACATATATGAGAAGTGAATTTCGCACCGGAGGATTTTCACTTAATTAACGCATCATGCCCACTGCCTGATAACCCCCTACAGTAATTGTGTCCTTCCACGTGCCTCACTGCATTACAACACAAATGGGACACTCACGTGGGTTGTTTTTCCTCCTGACAGAACCATCTCTACATAATGAACAGAAATCTGCACACCCACCTTCCCCCAGGCCAATCCAGTCTTTGTTCAAAGCAAAATAAACTTCCCTTAACAGACACGGTCTATATCAAATTGAATTTATATTGACTTTTGCATTAATAATGTCCCGCTGATTCTAGTTTCTACTGTAGAAACATGCGAGATTCTTCAGYAATCAGATGATTAAGAAATCCACAATCTCGCCAAGAAAATTACTTGTCCTCTAAGTCCTTTTCCTGCGGGATGACAAGAGAGGCAACAACGGGCTGTTCACGTCTCTCTCTAAATAAAACAATTCTTTAATCTAAGAAAAATATTAAGATGATGTTACGCAAACTCCGAGCCGATAAGTAGGCACTAGAAGGGCAGACTGCCAATGTTAACAAGAAAATCTAATTTGCTTGCAAGGTATAAAGATTTGGCAAGAATATTAACAGAAAAGCTTCCGTGGAAGAACAAGCGCAAAAATGGAAGCGCTCTAATCTTCATTCTACAAAAAACTGACCTACTTAGATAAATCACAAGAGCTGCCCTTAAACTAATACGGGGTTGGGGGGAAGGGAACTGGAGGAGTTGTTTTTCTCTCTTTTTTTTTTTTTTAAACACAAGGTAAGGAATGTTTTAGGGCTAAACCAGCTTAAAGCCATTCCCGATTATGATAGCAACAGCAAAATATCTTAGAAGAAATACTGAGGCATCCCTACCAAACACAGGCATCTTCACAAATCTATTTTAGCAGCCTTCAAGAAAAAGCTTTTACTTCATTGTTTTTAAAGGGACCGGACTTACCTGTTGAAGTACAATTTCATCATAAAAGCAAGAGACAAATGAGGGGGCTTAGCAATYCTTGAGGCATGAGCTGACTTTATTACAGAAATTAAAGATAAGCAGAGAGTCTTCGCTAAGCAACTGACACAAACTTCAAGTCTGTCAGTATTATCCCACTGAAATAATACACAGGATTCAAAAGGTGGAAAATCATCAAATTCAAAACACAGCCTTAACATTTCAAAGGTGTTTACCTTATTTCCTTTACTTGTCTAATGACCTCATCTTGAGTTTTCACTATTGTCTCTATCTCTTGCTGGGAAACCTGGTAGGGGCACAGAGGGAAAAAGATCAACGTATTTTAGAAAAAGCAAATGCGCTGCTCGAATCGGGCTGGGCTCTGAATCACCACAGTTTTTATTTACCTGTCCCTGCTGGCCTGGAAACCCAGCTCCTCTTTTAGCCATCTCCTCTGTGACTGCAGAGACGTATCTCCTCTGCTCATCCAGAACCATGTCCARTTGCTTGTTAAGCTGTTTGATTTCCAGATGAATTCGATTCTGCCCCTCGAAGATTTGCCTCAGTTCACGATCACTCAGAGTCTCAAAAACATCATCTGCTGCTAAGAAAAAAGCACAGGGAGCTCTTACGTATGTGCACATTCCTCAGAAGTTGCATTGGATCGTTTCTCTCGCTCCCTTAATGTATCCACGTGCATCTGCCTTTTCCTACAACCTCACCATCCCAAAGTCCAAAAGACCGTGTGGCCAAGGGATTATTTCTTATCAACGAAACGCCAAACAGAATCGCAAAAACACAGATCAAGTTCAATGGTATAGGACCTTTAGAACAGCCATAAGTTATCACTGTCCAATAAAAAAAGACAACCTGAAATTCCAGGTCTAGATGCCTAAAGTACATCCCCAGTGTATTTGCATTCACATACAGCTAGTAAAATCCACAGAAGTAACAAATGGCTTCCATTATATTTTAAAATAATCAGGTTCTTGTTTGCCCAGCATTAGGCAAGGATTAAAAAGCTTTTCCATTAAAAGCTTTTCCACGTAAACACATTCCAAAATATGCACTAAGCCATCTTTAAAGAAGTTTTCTATGAATGTGCAGAAACGCACCCAAAAGATGTCTTTTAAACAATGAAAAAGGCCACGCTTTCTTATTCCTCTCTTTACAGAGGGATGCACGACCTTCTCTCCCTTCTGTTGTTCATAACTTCCACCATGTTTCCAGTCATTCATTTTGTTCTCAATCCAGACACCACCAAAACAGATTTCAGGAAACACTTCACAGTAAAGATTTTAAATAATACAAGTAACAGCAGGAGCTTAGCAGGATCAGCCAGAGTATCTCTAGTTCTGAACATCCTGGAAAATTAACATTTTCCTGGACAACTGAACAATGGCTCAGGTAACTTACCTGCCTGTCCTTGCACATCAGGATGTTCCCTTTGAAATTCTTCCTTTTTCTTATCCAGCTCTTGTTGAAAGTGTTCAAACTCTTCTTGATACTTCTCTTTATCTTTCTGAGGGATTTCTGCATCTGGTGTTGGCTTTAAAAAATTATCGGAGGGAAGGATTTGTATGAGATTTTTTTCACCTTCTACCCCACCGTTCATACAAATGACTCTGCAGCAAGGCTGTTCAGACTTCAGACGTTAACACGTTAAAAAGTTACTGGAGCCGATTCATACATAAAACTGAAGTGAGAAGGCACACGTTCCCGTTGAAATCAAATAGAAAACTTTCCCAACAGAAATTCTAGAGGCGGGGAAAGTTGAAAGCAAGAACAGATACTTGCTCGCTTTCCAAAGAAAATGTACTTTACAGTACCGCATGGTTTGATTTAACATCGGGAGTTTCGTTGCCTCGGTGGCGCTTTCAGAATTCCAGTCTTAAAAACATTAATGACAATATTACTGAAACATTAGAATACTAGTTTAATTTTTCTAAAACAGAAAAAAATCTGAAACAGGAAAATGCCAGGTGTGACTTTGGAGAAAATGCCATAATCTGGTGCTGCATGTAAAATAATGTGCACAATAAAGTATTTTACAAATGTAAGAATTTTACTGATAGTAAGGCTTACCACTTCCTTCCCAGGCTCAGTCAGCTGGAAGGTCAAAAATGACAGCACATCGTGGTCATCTGTATTCCGCAAACAGAACAAAATCACATTACAAATCCCAGTACTTCCCAAGCCAACCTTCCGCTTCCCAAGCCAACCCTCCAAGGGTCTTTGGGAAGCAGCATCCTCCTAAAGTCTTCTCAGAAGTTTGTGTGGTGGGGAACAAGCGAAGCATTGTGAGGAAAAACTGAAAATTCTTCAGCTGTAGACAGGAAAAGGCCTAGGCATGTCAGTAATTTGGGACTGCAAGAGGGCTACTTACATCATCATGGTAAAAAAATCGATCTAATGGATCACGCTAGCATTAAAAACCCAACCAACCAATCTCTCTCGCAAGCCTTGCAAATCCCCACAGTATTTGCCATAATTTTTAACATTTCCTACCTGCAAGTCCCCCCGTGGCTGCAGATACTCCAAAGTACCCTTGTGATGGCAACACCATATCATCTACTTTGGCACAAAATTCATAGTCCTCTTTATCCGGAGTAAAGCCATTATTAATTAATACCTAAAAGGACAAACACTTTGGATTTTCACCACATTCGTGTTGATTGTTTTGTCAGTTTGCATTTATAGTCAGAAATACAACTTACTCGGAAACTCAGCAGCTCATCCTAGAAACCAAAAACTATTTATTTCCCAAAAGACACATTTGATCAACATTTTACAGAAGCTTTCTATTTTCAAAAGTCCACATCCTAAGAAGGTCCTGGACAATACAGACCTGACCTACACCAGTCATCCACTGCAGTTCTGATTCGAAGTGTAGAGAGATTCTGCAAATACCCACAGAGAAAGAGAGAACTGCTAAGGTTTACAGCAACATGTGGGAGAGAGGAGCTCCTAGAGGAGGCATCGGGACCACGTGAAAACAGGAAATTTAACTCTCATTCAAGAGGGACAGGCAGCTTTTCCCAGAGTACAAGGTGCAGGCCTCTTTTAGGTGCAGTCATGTTTACTTTTAGGGAAACTTCTACTGCAAAATGACAGCTCTGCAGTTTATGGCCACTACCTGTGAATACACGAACAGCATCTCTCCAGAAGGAATCAGAAGCCAACGCATGCACGCACACACACGCAAATACGCACATACACTTGGTAGCTGACATAGCCCAGCACCACGGCAGCATTTCTCTCTCCTTACCTAGAAGGAATTCACAATCATCTCAATAGTGTTTAAGAATCCTTAAGGATTCCCTTATACCAGGGGTTTTTAATCTTCAGTCTTCAAAGCCCTACTGCTTTTTGGAGTCGAGAAGCTTCAAGTAGCATATTTAAATTTATTGTTAAATAGATTTATTATTTAGCCACATTTCAAGGACCTCCAGTTCAAAAATGAGCTACAAAACCGTCCGCAACTCTTAGGGCAGCTTAAGAAATACCAAGCTCAGGAGCTGCTCAATCACTTGAAGCTTAAATAGATCCTGACTTTGGGACAGCTCTACAGCCAAGTCAAGAGCAACAGAACAGTCTGAGCACATTACGAGTGCGTTTGCACAATTGACCCCTAAGTAACGTGAGAAAAATCAGAGATACCTGCATCCTAATGCAGCCAAAAGAAACTGCGTAGTATTTAAATACACAGCACCTACTCCCAACCTCTGCTGCTGAGCTCAACATTTCCAACAACGCCGGAACCGATGTATTTGTCGCAACTCCGTGAAATCCCAGTCTCGCATTTTAGAAGCTGAGAAACACAAGTAATTATGTTATTTCAGAGGACTTACGGTCAGTGTTTTTTGGTAGTGCGTTATCCTGACTCGCACGGGATAGGGCTTGTTCCTAAAGTCCCTCTGACAGGACGCCAGCGCTTGCGTGGATCCATCACTAGGCAAGAAGAGTTACGGGTTAGGTACGATTCATCAGCCAGGCCAGAAAAGMGTCTAACTCTCACTAAGCGAGCTCATCACAGTTTCTCAATCTGCGAGCTTTTCCAAGGTTGTTCTGGAACTGCCGTGAGCTTTTCTCAAGCCTGGGCTCTCCGGTACCACACATTGTACACAGGGCCCGATGCAGAGGGAATGCACGAAGGGCGGAATCTGTTTTCTAAAATATATTCCTGCACCTGGCAACCCAGATGGAAATAAGCTGTAGTGACTGCACTGACTAAGCTAGACACCTCAAAGAATCCAAACAGGTGTCCATTGTGCTGTTGATAAACAATCAGAAATCAAAGTTAATCCAAGCAGTTTTAGTGATAGGCAATTAGCTTTCAGTTAGTCACTTCTGTAGGTTATTAGCAGCGTGTGGAGGGTCCCCGTCAGCAATGAAGTCTGTGCTGTACCTCTGCTTATGCGAGTTCATCCATCCCAAAGAGCGTATGCCACTTAAATATCTATCAGTTGCCAATTTCTCTGCTGTTATTGCCAAAGCATGGTTTTAACAAATAGAAACCCTCAAATGTAAAGGAAATAGCCAAGCTTCACATAAAAGAAGCCTTTATAATGTTTCTCAAAGGGTTTCGTGAAACATTTTGTCATTCAAAAGCAAGCATTCTTCAATAACACTGAAAATAAACTTACTTCTGATGGTCATACAGGAACTTTCCATTATTGCCTACAACAATCACTCCAGGATTGTTTTTCTAGGGAAAAAATGGCACACCAATGGATTAATTTCATTTGAACCAAAATATCAGCAACATCTCTGGCAGCCTTCTACTAAAATCTGTCTAAATGTCTAAAAGCAAGCCAAAGTTGTGCAGGGAAACCAAAACCAGCAAAGCAGACCTAGTATGTATTGTTTCAGTTTCAGGATCATTTTGGACTGGAARACTGAGAATTGAAAACAGCAACTGGTATCCCCATCTGCTACACAATCTTTGCTGCTGAGCTACGCAAGGAAGATTTATTCTGAGAGAAAGAGCATCTCTGAAGACAGACTAAAAATTGGTGTTTCCACTGTAAGGGAAACTTGACTATTTTATTTTATCCCTTTGAAATGAAAAAAAGAGTAGGAAAATAACATCCTACTTTTTTCCACAACAGGCAGGTAATTCACTTCTAACACTTGCTAGAAGAGTTCCCTTCCAACCAACCTTTCCATCATTGTCAAAGGAATCAAAGAAAATTCCAACACCGTTCCATTTATCAGCTGCCCCAAAAACGGGACCTTCCAAGCCTTGCTCTTCTGTAAACCAGATTGCCTATGAAGAAAGGAAGAAGAGTCATAAATCAAGGTTCACTTTTAAAGAGCATTTGTTTTCCTCATTTAGGTCAAACTGCTCCTACCAATCCATCGGCTCCGATGCGGCCTCTTCCCGTAACCCGAAAGGTCACTTCCACTTCCCAGTATTCGAATATTGATTTGTTTTTTGTCCACACTGACCCTTTCTGGCTCTTCAAGGAGGTTGTTATACGGATCTGATCTGCACTTGGGATGGCATCTGGAAAGGAAATAAGACGTTCTAACTTTCCGTTTAGAACTTTAAATGAACAACAAGTCCACATTTAGAGAGAGACCCATTTGTTTGCATTAAATAACATTTATTTTTGGGATTATTTTCTTTAAAAAGCAAGGGCAAAAGAAGTTAATCTACGGACAGATTCCTTTACATCACTTAGAGCATAAAGTCACGTTAGAGTAAAAAAGTTACATTTATGAATTAAGCAGTCCCAATTAAAATAAAATCTAACAAAAACCAAAAGCACAGCAGAGGTTACTGCAGAGAAACTATGCGAAGGTGGAACCGTAAACGTCAATGCCTTTTATGAGGGGGGGACCCTTAGGAAACACGAGAAACCTTTCTGAGCACAACGGACCCCTTAAAAAAGAGGGTACGCGCATTCTACAAAGGTTGTTCAGCCAAGACGTATTTGCCAAGGTGCACTTTTCATAAAGAGCTGCGATACGACGAAACGCAACCGTTTTTTCCGGCAGCGCGGCCCCGGCCGACCTCAAGCGCGGCACCAGTGACACATCAGCACTTCCCGGCAGCGCCACGAGCCCCCTCCGCAGGGTCCGCAGCCTCACACCAGGAGGCCCCGGGTGCCTCGGCAGCGCGGGTGGGCCCGGGCCCTGCCCCGCTACCGCAGCATCTTTCTGCGCCTCCGCTGCCACGTGGAGCTCGAGGGCACGGCGGCGGACACGGCGGCACCCACGGCCAGCTTCTCCCGCGGCTTCTCCCCGCGAACCCGCGCCCCCCGAACGGACACCGATGCCTCCGCCTCGGGAGGGCCACCGGCCCTGCCCCGCCACCCACGCCCGGCACTTACTCCCCGTGTGCACCCAGAACGGCACCGTCCCGTCCGCCTGCACCAAGTGCGGCCCCTTGAAGCTGTACTTGTACTCGAAGCGACGATGTGGCGCAGCCGCCGCGCCCTCCGTGGCCTGCGCGGAGGCAAGCGCCGGGCGGCCGAGAGACGATAGCAGCAGCAGCAGCGGCAGCAACGGGGACAGCGGCGCCGCCATCTTGGCCGAGCCGCAGGGCGCTGC